AAAGAAAATTAACATGGAAGAATGTGGGAAGATTGAAAAGAGACAGAGGGAAAGCTCTTCATAGCGTTTCCCAATACTTTTGCTTTAAAATGCTTTTTCTCTTCTTACTTTCTCTTGCTGTCCATAAAAGAACACATAGAAAAACATCTGTTGAGAAACCTAACACGAAGATAACAACAAGAAAGAACTAATAGGCCTTTGAAATACTGAATATTGTAAAGACTATAGAACTTAGCATGATGTAGAGAGTCAACTTCATCACCCAACTTCTAGCTGCTTCTCGCCTTCTGGACGCATGTGATTGCGTTAAATAACAGACGACGATATGTACATGTACGTATATGTGTTTAGTTATTATTCAATTGTACTTTAAGATCGCAGCGCCATCGTTATGATCGGGGTGCCACCATTATGGCTCTATTTGATGGAACAGAGAAATATTACCTGACATGACATCTGATTCCTCTTTTTCCTCCATTTCCTCCGATGTGAATTGTTTTCGAAGGAGGATTTGTTGTAAACGTTTTTGAAAAGCAGCTCACTTGAGAAGCGTATTTGTTTTATACTTTTCAGTATTTTCATTTTATTGTGCAATATAAAAGTCGATGACACCATGGAACAGGGAAGGAAGGATCACATTTTTCTTCCTTTTTTGTTCTTCCAACTGAGAAAACAGAAATGCTGTTGGAAGGAAAGAATAAAACATCACGGTAACCTTGATGTTATGTTTCAGATGAAGACATTTGACAATTCATCTGACCCTACACTGGCTTGTTGCAAATGCTGAAGAGGTTCCAAAACGAAGAATTGGAAGAATCTGCTGGCCGTCGTGTTAGCTAGGATTGTGTGGCAGACTATGCCAAATCTTCGAGAGCAACATGTCATGTTTGCAAACAAAAGATAGAAATGCTTCTGGAGACACTGAGAACCGCAGAAACTTGAGGGTGCGCACGAGATACATCACTTCTCCAAGTTAAAGCCCGCAGACCAAAGAAGGTGAGGTTTGAAGTGATTGCTCCTTGCTTCAAAATAGTTAATGTGGTTTTTTTATCATGCCCCATAAGATATCAACAGCTTTTGAAGAGTTGAAGTCGAGCAAAACAACAACTCAGAAGGATGACAAGAGGATAGTCAAGAAAAGCCAAGTCGAAGATTTCTCGTTCGTCTCTAAGCACGACGCTAAGATCAGTTCCTTGTACGAATGACCTAATCTTTGTTCAGACATTGATTTCTTGGTCCTTCGATTCGCAGTCGGAACTGTATTATTTCGTTTTTTCTTACTAATGTGCATGGATAGTTAGTTAGATCTGCTACCGTTTGCTGTGTAGGATGAGAAACAGAAAAAATACACAAATAAACATAAAAAAGAATTTTAAAAAGTCAGTGTTGTTTGTGTAGTTTTTACGAATAGTCTGTTGATCACTACGGAAAACTTAGTCCAGGATATACATCAGAATACTATCCCCTGGTGATCCAGCTTAGATAGTACCCATCACTCACTCCAAGAATCAGTTTCCAGTAGGTGTTTAACAATCAAATTTGCTGCTAAAACCTAATATTGTTCTCCGAACACCAACTTTTAGTATTAGGACATGCTTTTACATGGTTTGTAATTCCTTGTGGTTTGAAATATTTTCCACACCCAGGACACTTGTACTGGTTATTAGTAGTTTTCATTAACACCTCTGTAACGTTTCGTTTGAACACTCCTTATGATGCTGCCAACTCTGAATTTTGTCCTCCCATCTCTTCCTGATACCGATATTCCGAGGGCGTTTCTCGTCAGGCAAGTATGAGAACATGATCTTTTGACTAGTGAGGGTTCGTGATCACTGCTTAACGTCCTGTTTACATGTCCAAACCATCTCCATCTGTTTCTTCGAAGGATGTTTTCGATTAGTGGGTGTCCACTGATTTCCAAAAGTGTATCGTCTGACATTCTATCACCTAATGTACATGGACTGATATCAACACTTATTTCGAATAGCCATCTCTAAGATTGAAGCGAGATAAGCCGTTAAGGGCATGGCTCGGGGGCTGTGGACGTTTTTCCTGAAGCCGTTGCACTCCTCTGCTGTTAGGTTTGGGATTGTCAGAAATGAATCAATACATAGGTAAAATGCAACAACCGAGTGAAAACCTATACTAGGTGGAATAACCCAGTTTTGTAGAGTACACTTCAGAGTATATATATAGGAAACAAAATTCATAGCTTCTATATCAACTTTCAGAGAACCAAACTTTTTCAAAGAGTTTCTGAAAAACCGGCTTTGGAAATTTTTCCGAAATTATTTTTGATCACGAAAGTATGCGGTCAGAAGTCTAGTTTCCAAAACTGAAACCCGCAGATCTCTATCTATCTTCTACGAAAGGTTATTCAAAAAGTAACTGAAGGCTCTGTATTTTGGGACGGATAGTAGTCTAGGTTTTCACTCGGTTGTGTTGCATTTTGTTCTGAAAACTAACATCGAGACGAGATTCAGCATTGTTGATAACCTACGTTTTGATTCATTTCTGACAGTTCCAAACCTAACAGCAGAGGAGTGCAACTGCTTCAGGAGAAACGTCCACAGCTCCCGAACCATGGATTTCTAAGATGCCGCTCACATCCAGTTTGTGGAGAAGACTACGGACTATATATCTACGTAATAAATGCATAGCTTTCTATGCCAGCTTTCAGAGAACTCAACTGGTTTTCCACAGATCTCCTAAAAAACCGATCTTTCGCCTTTGCTTATGAAAACATAGCCTCAGATCATGGCTAGTGAACGATGAAAACCGCAAGTCTCTATCTTTTATTCCTTTTGAGTTATTCAAGAAATAAACATCGGCCTTGTATTTTGGAACGGATGACAGTCAATAGCGAAAGTTATTTTTAATACCAGTGTTTTTTTGCAGCCCAAATTGCTGAAACAGCCGACGGAATGACACGTTATTCGATTCAGTATCTGACGCTAATCACGAATATAGGCTTGCTTTCGCTTTAAAATACTTTCTTCAAAACAAAAAATGCAAAATATGGTTCTAAAAATTTAATGATTTCTATCTGATAGCTACTGTTGGGGGTACTAGAAGCTTTCAGTGAGTTTAACGTTGTACACTAAAATTTTTTCATCTATTGATACATCAAGATTGCAACTAGTTATGTACCAAATATTTTCAAAATTCGTCTTATGCCATGGCAGAAAATCGACTTTGAAAACTGACATTTTAAGCTAAAGTCGCTACTTTCGATGCAGTTTTTATTTGAGCAAAAGCGAATTCGAAGCTCACATGTACAGGTCGTGTAGTATTCGAGGTCCTCTATCTAACGGTGTTTTCAAAATTTTATGAAAATGTTTCGTTTCGATACAGTATAGCGCCAAAATGGACAAAATCTGAGTTTAGGACGTACCGCTTACAACTCACTGTATGAGAACGAAACCCTTTCCAGAAGTCGGGCTTATTTTAAATCGAACAAGAATGCTGACTCAATTTATGTAAAAATTTTGTGCTCTTTATCTTATATGATTCCCGAGATATGAGCAACACAAAGTTCAATATGAGAGATGTCGCATTTTGCAAAAGTTGGTGGAAATATTAAAATCCTCCTTTCACGATCGAGGCAAACGGTTTTCTGTTCCGGGTTATTGTTAGGTCAACTAAGAAAAATTTTCGGGTCGTTCGAGTCCAGTTTTGAAAATTTCGGACCGGGTTCAAAAGCCTTCGGATCGGGTCGGATTAGGGTTAATATAAAAAATATTGATTCGGGTCGGGTCGGGTTCGGGTAAAAAATCTTTGAGTCGAGTCGGGTGCGGGTCATCCACGTAAGATCCAATTCAGTCTCTGTCAGACATAATAATACACTAAATTATCTACTATTTGAAAAGACGCAATTAAAATATTCCATATTTTTAAATATGTATCGTTTTCAATATTTTCAAATACTCCCAAGTAAATTTTGCTTTATTTTATAGAGCAGAGAATTTTGCATACATTCATGCACAATACGACGTTTTAAATACGAGCATGATATATTTTTAAATCCAATATTCGAGACAAGCATAGGCCAAGACGTTTTTCATCTTTTCTTACAAGTGTGGATTTCAAAGGTATAGGTAGATAGAATTTTTTCTGATGCATCAGTCATGGTTCCCGATCAGGGGGGCAGGGGGTGCTGATCCCTCCCTAAAAAAGTTTTTGGAGTTTCTGACAAAATTTTTGACTTTTTTTCACCAGCAACTTTCTGACAAAAAATTTCGAAAACTTTTTATCGCCAGCCACTTTCTGTGAAGCAAAATTTTTAGCCCTCTCACCCTAAGAATAATCGAAAACCAGTGCATCAGAAATGCAGAGGAAATATTTTTCTACAAAGGGAGACGTTGGCCAGTTCTGTCTAATATTTTTTCCTAATACCCGCCTTATTTTATTATTATCCTTTTCAAAATGGAATGCCTCAGGCTATTTTTTGAATAACTCGAGATGAAAACAAGATAAAGACATGTGATTTTCGCCACTCAGTAGCCACGGCGTTAAAACATCTTTTCACAAGCGAAAAAGCTTTTGGAGTTAGATTTCAACAACTAGTTTTCGACGAGAGCTTTAGAAAATCATTTCATAATCCGAAAACTTGATGAAGAAAATACTGAAGATGCAGATAATGAAGACAAAACCACATTCAGTTTATAAGGTAAGTTTAAAAGTTTCGAATATTGAATTTACAAATATAGAATATTTTAATTGTGTCCTTTCAAATATTAGATAATTTAGTGTATTATTATGTCTAAACACATGCTCATATAGACAAAACATGCCTGTTTCAAACAAAATATAAACGATTAATAGAACTTTGATGGTTTCTGAGAAAATTAAAAAATCCAAAAATGTTTTGGGGAAAAAAACACGTTTTTTCGGTGCATCGGCGATCCCCAATAGAATGTTTTGTCTCTAATCTATTAATAAAACACTTTCAGAAAAGTTATTACAGATTATTTTAGTGATCTTTTTGAATGCTCTTTTCAATGGCATGTAAGTAGGTAAAAAACAAATTTGTCCTTGCATCATATAGAAAAAGAAAAGAATACGCTATACGATAAAGTTGTAATAACATCCGTTGCTTTTTACAATTTTTTTTTTTATTTGTTTTAATGAAGTTTATTAATGTTCCATTCCTTTTATTTCAAAATGATACACAGTGAGTAACAAGGAAATTTAAAGTAAACAATCATGAGTGGGTTGGTATTTTTAAAAAAATATTTAAGAATGGAAAAATCATGTTACCTGTCTATTTAATGACAGAATAAAAATCAGGCATATATTTCATTTACTTGTTTCTATCTACAGAATCAGTATTTGTTCAACGTGAACATTATGAAAAATTCGAAAGACGCAAAAATTTCTCTTTACAACGAAAAAAGTAAAAACAATCAAAAAGCTATACCAACCACCCAACAATTTGTGGGTGAAAATGTTACCCAACATCGTCCACAATTTCAAATTCCAACAGAAAATGATGAAGAAAATAATGAAGATGTAGATAATGAAGACGATTCAGATAAACCACATTCAGTTTATAAGGTAAGTTTAAAAGTTTCAAAGCGCAAGATTTAATCTCTATTTTTAAAGGCTGCACACGACGATAAACATATTGGGTATTTGGAAGATGAACTTGCTAAGTGGAAAACTAAAGGAGGACTGAGTCAAAGCCAAATTAAAAAACGAATTGAATTACCCGATTCAAAACATTATACTGCCCTTCATTATGCAGCTAAACATCATTGTTTACAAATATGTAAACTATTAATAAATAAATTTGGATGTGGTGAGTTAAATAGTCTCTGCTCACCAATGAATTTGAAAAAATGCGTCGTTTTTTTCGTTTAGATCCTGATATCATTGGAGCTGACGGAGAAACTCCTCTTCATGTAGCATCACGACATGAAAGAGAGACTAGAAGTCAGTCTCGGGAAAAGGCTAGGTCATCAGTTTTAAACCGAAACGCCGTAAGATATTTGCTTTAATTTGTTCACCTTTTATCTACCACAAATTTCTTCAGAATATTGACAGAACATATAATACAGTCATGCCCAATGATAAAAGTGACACAGAAGGTGTCATTGAATATTTGGTCGAGAGTGGAGCCCAATTAGATGCAGTGGATGATGAAAAACGAACAAGTTTACATCATGCTGTTATGAGAGCGACATGTTGGAATAATGCCAGAACACTGATTAGCCTCATGAAGCCAACTCAAATACAGTTGTTAATAAATGTAAGTGGCGCAGTTCAGACATAGAGGAATTTAAAAAGATTCTTTTACGCAGGCTCGAGATGCTCAAGGGGCAACCCCTCTCCATTTTGCCTGCCGATTTCTTGATGGTAATGAAGAACAAAATATGGTCCAACTTTTGATCAATAACGGCGCTCTCATCGATGCTCTTGATCAAAATAATTGCACACCACTGCATTATTGTTCACGACGGAAACTGGGTCGCCTGAATGTGGAAATATTAGTGAGATATGCTCAACAACATCGTTCATTTTCTACCGAGGAATATCTCGACATTCAAGATAAAAATGGAAATACAGCCTTGTGCTTAGCCGCTGAACATGGCTGCGAAGAGACTGTCAAGTTTCTATTGGAGAGCAATGCAAAACATGATATTCAAGGAAAAGAACTTTATCAGCCAATTCATTTGGCCAGCAAAAATGGTAATATTAAAATACTCGATATGTTATTAAAAGCAAATTATGAAACACCACATCCGAAAACGAAAAATAAAGAGACACCATTACATGTTGCCTGCCAGTTTAATCGTACGGGAGCCGTTCAATATCTAATTCAAACATTAAAGCAGCGAAAAGGTCTAATTGAGCATTTGGATGATAAAGACTACACACCATTGTTAACAGCCGCCTATTATGATCATTATGATTGCGTTAGAACATTGATCAAAAATGGTGCTAAAATGACAGAGGTGCATGATGATGAAGACAGAAATATAAGTGAGTCAGAGAAGTTTCTCTTCATCAGATTATTATTACCTTTTTTTCTAGTTCAAATATGTGCCAAACGTTTGAGTATCAATGTTCTTAAAGAAATCTTGCCACAAATCAGCCGAACAACAGCAGCATCAACGTCTACATCCACCGAACAACTTGTACACCAAATGATTAAACACTGTGATAAACATGGAAATAATCCATTTCATTCAATTGGTCGTGCTTACAATGGTCACATACACGGTGCCGATATTGATAAATTGGAAGTAGATGTTTGTAGATTGCTACTACAACCGTTCATGCAGAGGCAATCTGTGCAACAACTTTCGATTGAACCAGAGCAGAATACTTCATTAAATGAAACTTTGATAATAGATTTGATTTTGATCAGAAACAAGGAACATCGAACATTCTTACATGAAGCATGTTTCAGAGGAAAAGTGATGTTTGTTCAATATTTTCTTGATTTGATTTCCAACTTTAAACGAAAAATGGACGTGCTGGAAGCAACGGACGATGAATTGAAAACTTGCTTACATACTGCATCAGCTGCAGGTATGATAGTGAATGTTGACTCTTTTTACTAAAGGAAAGGATCACTTTAGATAGATTTTGAAACTGATAATGAAATGGAAGATGTGCAGGTACATTGCGGAAGACGAAATTATCCTAGATAACTTTCTGAGCTGAATAAAGAAGTCAGGATGTGAATGATACAAAGTTCGACTGAGGCTCTCGATTTACAGGTTGAACCGCTAGACTCATATTGTTTTGGGGAAAAAGCTAATTATATGCTGCTAAAACGCAGTTTCAACTGATGGGGTATGATTAACACCTTTTTTGCGAGATTTTCTATCGAATTTTCGCTCGAAGGAATAAAGTCTGGAAAATTGTAAATTTTCTAGATCGTAGCTGACCGGACACGATAGTGCTATGCTCCAAATAACTAAATATCTTCTACATCTCGAGAAAATAGAATTTTTAATTGTTGTTTTAACGTTTTATCTTAAGGTAAAATTGATATTGTGAAATTATTGATTGACCATCATGCCAACCTTGATGCACGGGACATGAATGATTCGACACCATTGCATGAAGCATGTGCAAATAATCAGTATCGATGTGTTAAAATTTTGATAAAAAATCACGCACCCATTGACGATGTGAATGAAAAAGGATGTACTCCATTGCATCTCGCTGCAATAAACGGCCACAAAAAAATAGTCAAATTTTTACTTGAAAATGGAGCAAAAGTGCACATTCAAAATACAAATAAATATAACAGTTTAGAAGAAGCAATTTTGAATGATCATCCGACAGTTGTTGAAGAATTTTTATCACACAAGTCTTGGAATAAATCAATGAAAAGTGCTCAGTTAAAAAGATTTGTTAGTGGACATGAGCCTGAAATAGATACCCCGTTAAGAAAATTAATTCGTTTAATGCCAACAAAAGCCGAAATTGTTTTCAATCAATGTATAAAAAGGCTTGGAAATGAAGAATCAGATCAACATAAAATTCACTACAATTACGAACTGTTAGAAGATCACTTTGCTAAATGGACGAGAGGTAATAATTTCTTCAGAAGATTATTTCTCATGCTATAAAACGTTGTTATGATAAAGAGGCTTAGCAGGAAATCATGAAAGAACATTTTTTTGGGGTATCAGGAACCTTCCGGACTGCACGTAGTGTATAACAGGAATTTAGAGCTCTAGAGTTCTGAAAAAATACGGTATATGTGCACAGAAAAAAGCCAGATGACAAAACTGCAGGAAGCCCAAATGTTTCATTCAATGAAGATCTGTTCGGTATGAGGTATGTGGATGAAAGATAAACAACTTGTATTGCTACTTTCTTTTCCTACTATAACGACTGAGAGAAGTGAAAGATTATTTTGGATAGTTCAATGGATTAGATCGAAATTCTGAAAACCGAATCTTCGAGAAGCAGCCACTCAATTTCGGCCTTCAACTGTTAGAAACATGACAAGCAGAACACATAGAAAATATTCTTACACAAAATGAGACGTATCCAAACTTTTTCCATGGTTCACTTATAGTATACATGCGCCTACTGAGTGCTATTGTTGTTCTCTTGTCATTGATTAGTTCGATTTTATCAAACAAAAGTCTCAGATAGCCCGGAAATCTCATTGTTTTTCCAAAAAAATCATTATTCTATGTGAAGAAAAATGATCGACCAGATTAGTAATCGAACCCAGGACCTTGGCATATCATGCCACCGCTCTCCCCATTGAGCTAGCTGATCCGCTAATATAATAATCCGCTGAAAATCCAGCTGTTGTTAACGCAAACAGTTTCAGTACAAAAATAGCTCGTTAATACACTTTACCCCTTGTGTTTAGTTGAAGAAGAAAGTCACAATTCGAGATCGAATTCTTTTCCTTGGCAACGTCAAAGTGTATCACCTGATGGAGAGAAAACACATAAATCTGAAATACACATCCCAAAGCGCCATTTAATTCAACACAATCATCCTCTTTATATACTGGCGAAAAGCGAACGTGAAGATTTGATAAAACACGAACTAATTGACAAGTTAATACAACGAAAATGGTCTCAGTTTACCCGTATAGCATTTATTACGACTTTTACATTTTATTTATGGTATGTATCGTGTTATACGGCAATGATATTGCGTACAAAAGATCCACAATCATACTACATAACATATAGTTATAATATAACCGATACAACATGTGAGAATGTAGCGAATATAATGCAAAATACACAACGAAATCCATCTGGTGATGGTCTCAAAAGTCGGGGTGATTACATTTTGAAATACATGTTGCTCGGTCTTATCGCACTTCATCTTATGAAATTCTTGTATCTTTTGTTTCTACACTGGCAACGGCTCTTTTACAAAAGCAGTTTAATCGAACTTGCTTCATTAGGATGCTGTTTGTACTATTCTCAAGATTATTATTTATGGCAAATGGCAGTTAAGCTGAGATGTCCTGATCAATGGTCAGTGGGAGCAATAGGTACGTATATTGAATGAGTGATACCCATTCACATTTTAGTCTTTAGGTATTTTACTGGCATGGTTAACGCTGATCACCTATGTTCAATTCACTCCTACACACGGTTTATTCGTGGCTATGCTTGAAGTTATTCTAATTAACTTCCTCTGGTTTTTACCCGTATTGATTCTTCTCGTTGTCTCATTCGGTTTTACTTTTTACATGTTGCTATCCGCACAAGATCCTTTTACAGTACCAATCGAATCACTCCTTCGTACATTCATCATGCTCAATGATGTTGGCTATGAGAGCCACATGTATCCCAATTCACCTACAACATCACCCTATTACAAACAATCCACATTTTTTGTCTATATTATATATGCAGCACTTATGTTTATTCTCATTAATAATTTACTGATTGCATTTGCTGTCGGTGAAATTGGACCATTGGTTGGTCGAGCAAAATTTAAACGAAGTCAGTTGAGAATTATTCTCATTAGTGAATATGAATTATTGATACCAAAACGTTTCCTACAACATTTTTATCGTAAAAATCAGAATGAAGCTATTGAACCAAATAGAACAAATCATACAGCGGAAATTGTCAAAAAAGTTAAACGAGTTTTTAAAGATAATAAAAAGAAGGAAATGTATGGTGATCAACAGCAAGAAAATACGAATAATACTCGTGAGCAATTAGAAGAAGTGATTGATGAACAAGAAAAGAGTAAAGAAGATTTGAAACAAATACAAAATGATATTAAAGAAATACAAAAATATCTGAAACAGGTTTTTGGAACATTAAATTTAGATAAACCCACTAATAATGAAAACAAAAAGAACTCGTCATACGCTTGATTCTCTCTCGCAACAAATGTTCTATTTTTGAATAAAATGCTATTATTAAGTTATGAGAATAAGCGTACTATGAATATCGTATCTACCATATATAAATTAAATAGTAGAAACCTGCAAACTCTGTTTGCTATGATTGTAATTTCGACAGCTTTTCTCAAGAGAGGACGAGAATATATGTACAAATACCATCAGATAAGAACTACTCATGCAGGACAAATAATTTATTTTGTTTCGTTAAGAAATTACCATAAAAACATTTTTATCGATCACAAATGTGAAAATACCCATCTTGCGCAGCCAAACGTTCAGTGATCAAGGCTGAGTTATCTAGATATACTAGTAGTGCTACTTTCTCGATAGAAGTGCTAACTGTTAACAACAGAAGTATAATAGCTAAAGCCCATAAAGAACTAGCAAGTCAATTAGCTATATAATAATTTAGCAAGTCAACAAAATATAAGCTTCTCAAAGCAATGACATCTCATACTCAACTTTCATTCATTGTTATTACTTAGACTGGGCTTGATCACATGATACGTGGTGCAGATATCAGCTTAAATGATAAAAACTAGAGAGATTAGACAGAAACAGAGTAGAAGGCGGTTATTTGCTGTACTATCAAGATCATTCGGTTGTCAAACGTATTTCAGTCTTCGAGAATAAAAACTTAGAGATAATGTTTTTGAAAGAGGGCTGGGCGAATTTCTTAGATTCAGAAATAATCCCTTGTCCTACTATTCTACTATTCTAAGTGAGAAAAAATTTTGCACTTTAACGCATTAATTGTGCATTGGATGAGCATTACATCCGTTACTTGTGCATTACATCCATTAATTATGTATTACTCCTCATACTGTCTACTATCTATCAGTCAACATTTATCTAGTAGAATATTAGAAAACTAGAACAATAGAATAGTAGAATAGCAGAATGATGCACTGTAAAATATAAAGTGTCCGCTTTACACATTAGGATCAATAGTGCAGTCTGGTCTGGTTCTCCAAAGGGTCTGTGCTGGATATGTCTCAGATCCATCAACCCGTGGCTCTAATCTATCCGGTGGCAATTTCTTTTTGGCTGTTTTTTGCTTATCTATTTGGGTTAGGCGTCACCGCATGTATGCTTTCGAGAACGATAGTAGAATAGTAGAATAGCAATTGTGGGAATAGCAAAATAGTAGGATATTTTTAAAACATATTATTGCGCTGTGCTGTGATTAGTATGTATTGTATCTGTTGCTGCATCACAGTGACCTTATAGTTTTATGTTATGATTGGCTTTTAGGAAACAAATGGCGAAATGATGACTTTTTGAATTGTGTAACTTATAAATTCGTTCTTTTCTGTACACTTCTAGGCATGCACTAACCTGAAGATACTGCTTGTTTCATATCTGCTTTTAAACTCTTAGACATGATGTCATTTGCCAAATACTAAATAACGTTCATGACAACTAATCTGGACCTGAGGATGGGGATAAAGCAGTCAGAGTGATATAAAAACTTTGCAAATGGCAGCTAGCACGTGTACATGTTTTCTGCATCCACTAAGTATCAGACATAGAGCAGCTCGCCATACTACAGGGATACAAAGTATGTTTTCCAGTTGGTATAGCGTGAAACATCAGACCCACCTAAAAGTCATCTTAGATAAGATGAGGTTACCTCATAACCAACACACTTTTGCACAATTATTCCAATAACCATCTACTTAGTGGCCAAGCTATGAAATTATACTATTCTCAATTCATCATACACAACATTGCTACTTGTACATAACCGATCTTCGCCGACAAACCTTCATTCAGTTCGATTCCATGCCATCATACCAAGTACCAAAGTGGTGCGAGAGGTTTAGTAATGCAAAACATTTGTTTTTGTATTTGCTCTGCTGTATCTCGTAGAAGGACTCTATCCAATGTTTTGCATTACTAAAGCTCTCGCTCCACTGAGAGGTTTTGGCTAGTCCGTATCAAAAGACGTATAGTTCAATCAGTTTTGATCGTAGAAACCTAAGAAACACCACATTTTGTTCTGAATTGAACAGACTATCCACTGATAAAAGTCTCGAGTAGTTTCGCTAATTTTTGGCTGTTCTGCAATTATCGGAAAACCCAGAAGTTTGGAAAACCTTAGCTCAGAAAATACGAGCGGAACCAAAGTTTCATTTACATTGTCATATGCACTGACATATGGAGAATCCGATTTCCACAACCATAGGTCATCCGAATAGGTATTGTAGTCAGCAAATGCGTAGCAAAACCCCTAAAAACCTTCAGCTGGTTCACAAATATGTCGAAGTTTCCGGCACTTATTTGAGAAAGTTATTAAATAGGACAAAGTTACAACTACGGCAGTGACAATTTACCCAGTGGCTGCATTATACTATCTCCGTTCAATTTGGAAACTCTAGTTTCATAACTCTCGTAATCATTTTGTAAAATTTCTTTCGAGTTCTTATATAAATAGGATCTAGCATAGACTAAATACTCTACATTCTGAAGTTCTGACTTCGTTTTGATGTTTTTTCAGTGAATAGTGGATTTTTTAATATTACATGAGAACAGCTTGAAAACCCTAATTTTCGTAAGACTCGCTTTTGGATAGATTTTTAAATTTTTTCTAAAAACAAATATTGCCACGAGACTTAGCGTGGGAAATCAAGACCTCGCTCGGTTGTTCAAAAATTTCTCTTCTTTTTTACTTCGAATTATTATTTATTACGACGTTTCGAAGGTTACTACCTTCTTCATCAGGTTTTAAAAATAGAACTAATTTTTAAGAATAAGAACACTTATATATGTATGTACAAAAGCCAATTTTTCCTTTTTCTCTTCTTATGTTCTTTAATAGTGGAACGGACGACAACAGGACGGTAACACTGGAACAGAAACGAAACTAT